AAAATATTTTTATAAAATTCTAATGCTTTTTTAAGATTAGGAACAGCTATAGCTACATGATTCAAACGACCCAACTTCCATAATTCCTGATTCTAATATTCAATGAGTACAGATGTTAGATGAATTATTGTTATTAGATGACAAAAGATAAAACCTAACCTTCTGCGAGACGGAATTGATAAAATTCCTGCGAAAAACAAAACTCTCTGCGAAAGATGAAACCCTGACAAAACTTCTGCGAAAGGTGAAACTTCCCGAAGACAAGACGAACATTAATAAAAGACGCAATTATAAGGAAAATAAAAAGCTATTATAGTTGACAGGTGAAACAAATAAAATGAAATAATCTTCAATATCGTAGACACTGAAGTGTGATTTAAAAACAATAACCTTTTTGTTTATACGAGGATACGATCCGTCGTTTCGTTAATGGGTTTTAATAGTTTAATCGTCTAAAGCCGGGTGATTTAAAATCATACGATAAATACAAAAAATACGGAGGTCAACTAAGGCGAAGTGAATTTTGATTACCAAATTAGGAGAATGTTTAAAGCAGTGTGCGGTCATTCGTATAACAATTTTTTTTGGCCGTAGATCACATGATAGAGACGCAATTTACTACGCTACGTATTACAGTATTAACTATTAACGTTAACGTTAACGTTAAAAATTTGCTAAGGTCATGACTTGATCATGTGACCCGTACTTTTGGGTGTCCCCTGAATTGCAGTAGTGAATTTATTAAGAGTCTATTGATATAGTGAAGAAAGTGAGAAAATCACTCAGCCCGATCACTTCATTATAATGAGAGTGACTAGTATTGAAAGACTCTTAGCAAATTCACTATATCAAGAGGTTTTTTTTTAGAGAGGTCCACTATAACTATAACGAAAGTGACATGTATTAATCTGACTATTTTCTACTGACGAAACCAAATGGAAAATGGATATTATAGCTGTTCTCATAAATTCTGGGATAAATTAAAAATTTGTTCGTTGCCCGGAATCTTTTCGGTTTCTTCCTGTGTTTGTCTTCGAACCTTCAACTCGAAGACAACGATGTAATTTCCGGAGAGTCAGGCGATTCACAGAGGAGAGTAACGAGCAAAATTTAATTTGTCCCAGAATTTGAGAATAGCTATCACTATAATTGATAATTTTAATTAACTGAGTTTCAAATTGGCAGATATGAACAAGCCGGACAGATGTATGGCTTGGATATTTTTACGATTACGGAATCGGAATTGAAATGAAAACAAATCGGCATTAATAATTGTATCAAGTTGATTATTGTTATTATAATTTATTATATTTAGGATTGGAGCCGAAATAGTAAGCATCAAGCTATATATTATGAAATTGGCGTGGAAAAAATCGGTTGAATGGCTTAAGAAGTTACTCTAAAAATTAAGATCACTTATACACTTTTAATTATCAGGGAGTATGAACATTTATTAATCTACATACGTATCAGCAATTAAATTAATTTAGCCCATAAGCATGAGTAATAGTTATCCCAGTTATCATTCACTATGTAGATGAGTTTCCCATTATATCACCATTTGATGGAACACGAGAGTTGCAACAATTCATTCGCATCCTCAAAACAATTATATCCTAGCAGTTGGGTATAAGTGGAACTTTGTAGTAAGTATAACCAGCCGCGTAAGCGACCGATTATACTTTACTACAAAATTTCGCTGATATCCAACTACACAGGATATAGCTGATTTATCCCTGCCATCTATATAACATAGCTTTCATGTACTTATTTAAAGCTAAACTTTTATGTTTTTGACATTTAAGGATAATACTCAATTACCTAAATTAAATAGACATATGTCTATCCAGGAGATAAAGATGATTAATGGATAGAAATTCACCATAAGTACTTATCAGTTATTACCATTACGTATAAATAGCAAAGTAGATCTATTTTCGGGGATCAGGCCTCTAATCCAATTTGGCATTGTTAGAATTGTCTCACTGAGATGAACCTAATAGTGATAGTACAAAATCATTCAAATTGGATCACAGGATCCTGAGATATTCAATCCATGGAAATAAAATTGATTTTTGGAAATACGTATCGGTATGCATACGTACCATACAATTAACAGTTAAGTGATGTTTATTATTGATGGTAGCGGAAAATTTTCTGAGATTTTAAATTCCTTAATGTTTATTCGACGAAAAGTCTACTAGAATCGCCTGATTTCTCGTGTCATGATCTGCAGAGGTCACTTAAAATTTTTAAATTATATCGATTTGTGGTTTAGCACCACGAACACATTTACTTAGTAAACTTTGTTCAATTTTCTACTATATATCCACGGAAAAAGGTCAACTGTTTTTTAAAAATGATAGGAATTTCAATTTTATCATTAGAATAATTTTTTTGTGTATAAGTCATAAAATATAAACATATAGCAAAAAAAAAGTTCCCGAAATACTGTAGGCAATTCTACCTTACAAATCAATTCCACTTCGTTCAGTGAGTGCTATTCAACCTTAAATTGTTTAAAAACATTTTTGAATTAAGATTGATATACTGTATTTAATTAAGTTACTAGATTAGATCTTTTCTTTGCTTCAACATTTTTATTCTTAATGCTAATTTAAATAGTAATTAGCAAAGCTTTATTTTTATTCCTAATAAGCTTTTCTCTATTGTTTTATTGTCAAAAATAGCAAATATATGAAAAATATTTTATTACAATTTTATAAATAATCCTCTATACGATAAATTCTAGAATTTAAAATACAAATTTAAAGTTATTACAATAATATTATTTTCTATAAATTATTGGTATTAGCAACAGCAAATGGATGCGTTAAAAGTGTTTTAGCAGTTGGTCGATCATCTTGATTTCTAATAAGAGAAAAATAAAATCGTATTTAAATTTTACCGTATATCATAAATAAGTGCAGCCAAGAGAAAATGAAACTTTGTGCTTTCAATTATATAACTTGCCGGATCAAACCCTGAAAAATTTACGCAACTGAAGTCCAATTGCATATATTATCGTTATATATCGCTGATCAAAATTTTCAGGAGTTTGGTCCGGTATGTTATATATTTGAGAGCCCAAAGTCTTATTTTCCCTTGGTAGCACTCAAATAATGTATATCTTCGGATAACTTACGGTTCAAATGTCTTGCTCAAAAAATCCTGTGCATCTGTGGAAATAGCATCCGGAATTTTAGGCGTACAAGATTGTAATCCAATCTATATTTGCATAAATCAATTAAAGAGGACTTATTTAAAATTTAAAATAATGTTAAATTCATTATACCTTAAACATTGCTTGTGTCTGGTTGAATTCTGGAAAAGGATGATCTCCGGTGAACATCTCAACGATCAGACATCCTAAACTCCATATATCAGCTTTACTTGTATAAGGTGTTTGTTTTACAACTTCTGGTGCCATCCAAAACACTGAGCCTTGTAATGACGGCCGTTGTGCTGAAGTTGCTGCCATAAACTCTGTTGCGTGATATTATGAATGAATAAGAATTATATGACAATAAGTTAAAAATAAATAAATAACATACGATCAACTTTTTTTGATAACCCAAAATCTGATATTTTGATTATTCCTTTATTATCCACTTTTATTAAATACATATAAATTAAAGTTAATAATTTTTATAATATAAAAAAATATATATATTAAGGAAAAGCAAAAAATTTACCCAAAATGTTGGCGCCTTTAATATCTCTATGTATAATGTCTTTTTCATGCAAATAATTCAATCCTTGTAAAATTTGTCTAACATATGATCGAATCAAATTTTCTTCTAATGGACCAAAGAGATTAAGCATTGAAGCTACTGATCCACCAGGCACATATTCCAAGAAAATATTAAATGTTCCCGTTCCCTCATCAAGCTGTGAACCTATGAAATGTATAAAATATATATATATATATATATATATTGTGTCATCATTTCTGCAAATAGAAACGGATTAAAATAAAAGACTTAACTCTTACCAAGATATTGCACAATATTTTCATGATGCAATTCTTCTAAGAGCGCAATTTCTCTTTGTAGAGCATCCAACTATGTAAAAATAATAAATAAATAACTAAGCATAAACAACTCGTTATTAAATAAAGTCAACTATTATACTAACCATAGATTTTTTACGTTCATTATTTGAAGAATTTGCGGTAGGTAATTCCACTTGCTTAACTGCCATGAATTCTCCGGTAAAAGCATTAAGTCCAAGATATACACTACCAAAAGAACCCATGCCTATAAGGTTACCTTTTATCCATTTAAGACTTGAATTCTCTTCGACTACAAAAAAATCATAAATTGCAAAATTGTTTTTGATTAATAGGATTAATAGATGTAATGAAATGAATAATTTGTCATTTACTTACCATCTTCTGGATCAGACATCACATACTCTTCGTCCTCATAATCAAAATCATGAAAGTCAACTTCTTCCTCTTGTTCTTCTTGAATGGCTGTGCTAGAATTCACTGAAGGTGCCAATATTGTACTCGATCTATCACTATTATAATTAGAAGCAGTAGCAGTATTTGATCTATCGTCATTTGATCTTTGCACTGAAAATCTAGAAGCTGCAGAAACTCTTGACACTCTTCTATAAATGGAACTTCTCGCAACACTGCGTTCAAGTTCTTCACTATTATGACCGGGGAAATATTCCGTCAAATTTAATTGAATTAATTCAGAAGGAGGACGCTGACCAAAGAAATTTTTTAATTTCTTTTGGGAGATTCCAACTTGTGGATTACTTGGTGGCTTTTCACCAAAAAATCTTTCTAAATCTTTTTTTTGTTTTTTTGACTGTTCAAAACTCATTGGAAGATGTTTCTTTCGCAAAGTAAGCCTTTCACGTTCTGGTCTGTCAGAATTCTTACATATTTCAACTAATTCTTCATCAGTTAGACTTCTTGCTATAAAGCAGATTAAAAGTTACTAAATATTCATAATCTTAATTGATTAAAACGACATACTTTCACCAGTATCACTCATAGTGGCGAATAATGAATAATTTTCAACGTCTTCATTAATATTAAACTTTTGTAAGATGCGTTTTAAAATAGATTCAGCATCAACGATATTGTTTAAAGAAATAGTTCGCGTTTGACTTTCTTCTCCATAAACTTTAATAACACTCTAAAATAAGCAAAAGGAATTATTATTTGAATTTTATACAAAAGCTAACTATATATATATATATTTTTTTTTTAAAAAAAAAAAAAACTTAAATCACCTGCTTGATACTCTCGATAGGCATTATATTGACTTCCTGTTGCTAAATTAATAAATGTAAATTTAGTTCAAAACTTTTTATTGTTGTAATGTGTCAATTTATAAAATATAACATTTGCCGAAGGTAAGCTCGGGGAATAATGTCCACGATTAGTAGAATTTGATCTTGCTCGTGTACGAGAATTTGATCTTGAGATAGTAATTGGAAACTTGTCAGTTTCAGGTGAAATTGGTTCCTAAAAATATAAGCAAAAATAATATGGTTAAACGTGCATAAGGAACCAACAAAATTTATATAAATACTTAATTTTTTAAAAAAAAACAGACTTTAGCATATTTAGTTATGGAATGATAATGTAAATTATCTCCGGCACAAAGTTTTAGTAAAGACCTCACAGCAGCCAAGAGCCTAAGTCGATCACTAATAGACCAGATCTTTAACTCTCTTAAAATTTCATGATCAAGTTCTAAAAGCACATCTCCATTAATGTCATTTTCTAATTAAAAAAAGAAACATTAAATTTAGTGTCAAATTCTTGTTCATGAATTAATATTTTGGATTAAAAATTAATACCGGTAAAAAGTTTTTGATATTCCCTAAAATTATTTTCTTGCAACCAATTAGAAACTTGATCACTTTTCCATTGCCTAACACTTTCAAAGGTAATATCCATTGAAGATATGATGATGCAAACTTGTTAAACTGATGTACGTGCGATATTTAAAGGATTTGCAGATTACAACTTTACAAACTCTGAATGTATACACAAATGCCAAAAATATTGACTTGATGATCGTACAGTATGTAAGCAAGTACGCACGTACTTACGTTTTTTCTAAAAAAGTACAAAATATCTTTTGAAATAAGATTTTTTCTACACATCAATTTATAAATATTTGAACGCATCATGTTGCTATACGGCTAGAATTGTTAATAAAATACTCCAAAGTAGGTATACGATTTAGTGTAATTTGGAGTGTTTGTTACTAAAAAAAAATACTGATTACAATGGTACGGAGATATGCAACGCGCGCAAAATGATAAAGATTTTTCTAATAAAGAGAATTCATTCCTTACATTATGAATGTCTAAATTACAGAGATTTACGGAAGATGACATGGAGGAATGTTTTTAATATTTCGCCATGATGCTTCAAAATGTTCAAAATGGTTGGTGGCGAAATTTTTTTTGCCCGCCGAGGTTGTCGATATTATTATAGCCGTCGATAATTACATACTGTCGAAACTATTTAGGCTGCCAAAATTATTATTAAAAAAGTATTGATATATTACATATCGAATCTTGTTAGATTAAATACTATACACTGCGCAAAGCACAGACAATTCTTGACTTAATTTTAGCAAATCGATATCTATCAATTGTGGCGTATTAATAACACCTAAAGAAATATATATAGAACCAAAACGACTAGTCGTATACGTGCTTTTAATTACATCACTGCAAGTATGATAGTGCTTATACATGAAGAATCTTTGATATCGGTTTATAAGGAATTATAAAATTTGTCATAAAATATTTTCGCCATCCTAAACATTTTTGACTTCTAAAATATTTCAATAATTTAAATTTCTTTCAACATACTAAAGTATTTACGATTTGGGCTGGTAAAAATAATCTCTTACTTAGATTACCCATGTATAGTTACATATATTTATATATTATGAGCGGTCAATAAATACTTATATAAATAGATTATATATATTTGACTTTTCGATTCTATTACTTATAATGTCACTGAAACAGAACAATATTCAAAAGGTAAATAATTTTATTAAGACCAATGTTAGATATACATTTAAAAATTAATTTTTACAAATCTATTCAAAGTTTATTAAGTTTAATTCTTGTTTATTGAGTCATAGTTCAAATCGATTTTTCAATTCTTTCGATTTAAAGTATATAAATTTGTGCATGTTGAATTTTTATTTTATTAATATTCATTATTCGTCATTTGACAAGAAACTAGATTTTGTCTATGTGATTTATATAAATATTTGAAGATGGAACAGTACAAAAGATTATGATGTATAAAAAGCTTTATCTCCATTGTTGTAACTTTTGATATTTTGGATTACAATTCTTATCTTGTTCGAAATCATATATCTTGCGCGAGGAACATATCTTAATGCCATAAATTTTAAACACGGTTATTAATATTCAAATATTTAGTACAACAAATTGTTTTTTAATAAGAACTTTGAGCAAGATAATTCAATTAAAATATACCAAATTTAATAGTAAGTAAATTCATAATATATATATATATATATATATATATTAGAGTTGGTTATATTCTGGTAAAGTTATCTTGAAATTTTCAAAAAAAATTTAACGCGTTTCTACGAATTTATTTAACGAATTTGTTACGCGACAAATATGGAAGTGAGAGCTCTATGAGCAAATGATAATCGTTAATATATATAGAAGAGCCTCTTACGGTATGTCGAATGGTGCTATCAGTTTATTCTTTTAACATTTGACCTTTAAAAACTTGACTTCAAAATTCGGGTTAATTTATTAATCGGATAAAACCTTGCCAAAATTATAATGATAATATAACGTTTAATCATTTATTAGTCTTTGAGTTAGAAATTAAAGATAAGATCCCCAACTGAAAGTAAAATTGGCTCAAAAACCATTTACTATTATAAGAACTTTCATTATGATATACTGCAATAAGCATATGAATATGCATTACTAAACACATTACATAACTTCTTGTGTCTATTTATATACATAATGTATATTTTAGACCCAGAGATGGATAATTCAGAATGTAAGACTATTATAGTAATTACATTGTAGTTCAGTTAACAAAAATGTTTACATAGATTTTCCCTAATCTACTGAAATACCTTTCGTTTTCATGTTCAACTTCATTAATTTCATTCTCTCGTTAGAACATTCAATCCTATACTCCACATCACTCCACCTATTACAATTTCTGCTCCTACTAAAAACAGAGTATACCATACAATTTGGTATAAATACTTTGGAGAAAACACTGTCCATATGAATAAATGATTTCTCAATATTGTAACTGCAATAGATATTATAAGTAATATTAATGAATAAAATGTAGTTATTTGAAATAGTGAGGTATGATATTGATGTCGTTTGAGTTCTTGTTTGATGGCGATTGTAGATGCCGATATTGCCGATGGTGAATGAGATAGTGTATTGGATCTAGTATTGTCAGTTTGTAAGGTTTCTGACTTAGAATTGCTAATCGCATTTTTGCTGCTTCCTTCACCAACATCTTTCTCATTCTGATTTTTATTTTTTTCGGATTGATTTATAAAAACTCTCCTTTCAACAATTTCAAATCTCAACAAATTCCCAGCAAACACCCACCAAATGGGACCCGTCCAGTTTGCTAAAAATGTCAACGTCCCAACCCACAATGGATTATATACAGTTATGCCTATATATGAATTGCTTATATCTGTGGTTGCTAAACTATTTGAATTTCCAAATGCGAAAAATGACACAAATTTTAAGCATATTAGAATAAAATTGAGTGTTATTGGTGATATTTCAATTCCATACGAGATTGAAATATGAATCCATTGTGATAATAAGTGATATTGAGCGAAGAAGAACAAGTATAAGGAAAAATTGTGAGGACGTGATAGAAGCATTAGTAAATATGTAATGATGTATAGTGAAAGTCTTGGAAATAAAGTTATTTTTGGAGCTATTGTTAAGAGTTGTTAATATTAGCAATTATGTTAATGAATAGATGTGATTGTGAAAAAAGTTCAGCACACCTTGAATGTCACGAAGTTTATTCTGTAATATGGGTAGTAAGGAAATCAAAATTAGTGTTATTCCGATTGCGGTGTATATCACTCGTGCCAACATAACTGGTAAGGTTATTGGAACAATCATTGTTATCCATGAAAAAATGTTAGGAAATAAAACTGATCCACCATCAATTGCTAATTTGTATTTAGTTATTGAAAGGGTTGTGAATAATATAATCAAGATCACGATTAGTTGCAAAACTATTTGAAGAATATTTTTTCCCTGGATTAATCTAGTAATCAGAATTTCCCGTAGTGTCATAATGGTTAATATCAACATTGAACAGAAAAATAATATCCACATAAAATATACATGTAATGTATTAAGGTAAAACCGTAGATCAATTTCACCAGCGTATTTCTGACCTAGATCAAAGTATAAAAGACACGAATGTAGATTAACAAAAGCCGAGATTGGTAGTAATGCGTTTTTGACGACACGAACCTGTTTGATTCCAAATACGAATAATGCGAACAAGTATCATCTGACCAGCTGACAATAATGCAAGTCTCTGGTCATTCACATAATTACTTGATCTAAAACTGAAATATTATTTATGTATTGTAGAATTATTATTAATTTACTCCAAACTATTCAAAGTAAGATAAAGTGCGAAAACGTACCTAAAGATAATAAACCCCAACCACATCGTTTGTATCCAAAAATACCAAAACTGGTGTTCTTCTTCTACATAACTACTAGAAAACATAGTAATACATAAACCAAATGTGCCCAAATAAATAAGAAATTGAAGCCTATTATATTTCTCCCAATTTCTGAATTGTTTTCGTCTTCGAGCATTTTGGTTTACCAATATTATAATGAAGCATACAGTAGCAAAGCCCATGAATAACAACCCCCAATACATTGAACCAATGTCATAATCGCTAAAACTAGAAGAAATATAGGAGCCTGACTCTGAAATAAACTAAAGCAAATATATTAAATTAGATGATTTTTATCAAGATGAAATTAAAGCTCATAGTATAGCTTTAAACACACCTTGTCATAAAAAAAAGACGCATTGTTAACATAATTTTCATCAATATAATTAAGTGCCATCGCGTGATAATAATATGACAACCAATATAAACACTGTAATCTTGTCTTAACATCATCAGCATTTTGATCACAATTTCTTTCGCTCTGTAAAGTCACGTCAGGGTCACGATCAAAAGAAATCCAAGTATTTTGTAGTATACCAGACAATTGATGGGCATTTAATTGCAATGCTCGCAGTTTTTCAAATTCTATAAATATTTATATTTGTCAGTTTTATTTCTTTTATTTCGTATGATTTAGACAAATCATAACACTCACCATTATTGTCTACAAGTAAATCAAGCATTATTTTACCTAAATTGTTTTTTGGTATCGGGATACCAAATAAATACGATAAGGTAGGTACAATATCAACTTGATTCACGACCTTATAATATCGAAAAGAAAGTGCATTGTAGTTTGTACTCGTTGTTTCACGAGCATGCTTCACCGTGTTAAATTTGGAACTCATAAAAACAAAGGCCTATAAATAATCGCGTTATTATAGTACTAGATATGTTATAAATTTATGGATTGTTTATCTTAATTGATACATGCAGTAGTTATTTCGCCAATAGATGCACCACCATGATTTCCAACCTATGCTTACACCCGTCAAAAATAAAAACATAAAAAACTGATTTAGATAAGTAAACATAATTATGGCAATTCATAATAATGAAATATATGAGGAAATATTAAATAAACCTCATTCATTCCATGATCACCACATAAAATAAATAATGTCGGCTTCGCATTTTTATTCACATGGATTCTTCGAGTATCCTGGTCTATGATAGTTTCGTAAATTGTTTTAACCACTTCATCCATCTCTCTTTGCTTTGGTCTCATCAAAGGACTTACAAGTGATAAAATCATGTTGATGAAATTTGAAGAATACAATTTTGTACATGACAAAATTTTGTTTTACCTGTGTGGACCACTCGAATGTCCAACGTGGTCTAAACCAAGATAATGAAATATTAAAACATCCCAATCTGGCTTAGAAAGCTGTGGCTTTACATTTCGTGTGACATTCAGATCAACTTCAATTGTGTCCTGAATAAACGATTTGTATATAATTTATCGAATTAAAAACAATATATATATATATAATATACATAATATTTATTAAATAATAAACTCACAGTAGCAAAAAAGGAAGTAGTTCCATCGGTGGTGTTGAAAACACCAGGAAACAGCTTAATCCACGTGTCGTCACCAAAAAACGAGACGGATTTATTACCAGTCTTTTTTATTTGCACAAGCCAATTGTCTTGAGATAATAACGACGAAGATGTATCCGATTCTGCAATGTTAAGAATAGCATCCAAAAAATTTGGAACGCTTCCTATATTTGAAAGTATAGAAATTGGTTATAAAAATACTGATTAGTAAAAAAAAAAAAAAATTGAAATACATACCAGTAGTAAGCGCTTTTATTCGTGGTAAAGTAACGGTTGGTGCAGTTGCGATTGCCGTATAAGGTATTGCACGATCGTTTTCTATAAGACTAATAAAATGAATGTGAGAATTTAAAAACATATGATCTAAAATGACATTATTATACATACTTTTTGACAAAAATCATATCAGAATTCTCTCCAAAAACGAAATCACTAAACATACATTCATGATTTTTTAAATGCAGCAATATAATATAAAGTCTATAAAAGAATTATTTTAATTAAACAAACCTTCTTAAAGCATCAACAAGCATAAAAACTAATCTATCGAATTCTGGCACTAACGGAGCTGCTTTATCTCCATTAGGTAGTTTAGGGAGCTCTTCAATTGTAGAAAAACCGGGCAAACTTGCCTTGTATGGAAAAAAACCTCTAGAAAATAAGCCAAGTCCGATCAATTGGGCAACAAGAAGAATTATCAGAATTGGCCAACTTTTTTGCATGTTAAAACGGTAAAGAGAATGCGTTGAAAGATCAAAGATCATCCAAGGTACGTATGTACTGAAATACTATTTGATTGGCCAATCACTCTACATCAATTTCACATGTTAACGTTTAATGGTTCATTAACGTTAAATAATTCGTGTTACTGTCGCCTAAAGACGTCTTCTAGCCATTGAGCCTTTCATGAAAACAGCATAGCAGACAATCGAATGATTGGCTGTTGATCGTCGATCACCACGTGATTAAATCAACAAAAATCTCGAAGATGATTGGCCATTACTTATCATTATATAATCCGATTTTATTAATTAAAAATATTAATTAAAAATTTATTAAAAATTATTAAATACAATTATACATTTAAAAATCTATCCATGGCTATTTGACAAGCTTCATCGACTCTATTTAATGCACTTCTATCCTTTTCTAATTGAGCGAAAATATTATTTTCTAAATCTTTAGCTTCCGCATCTTTAGATTTTTTTCGATTTTTAGATAGTTGATCTACAAGATCCTTGTCATCCTGCTTTGTTAATCGTGTAATTAAAGAAAAGATATTTAGTTGAATACCTTTTTCAAGAAAAATCTGACAATAAAAACATTTTTAAGAAAAAGCATTAAAACAATTTTCATGATATCCGTGGCCGCATGCAAGCACGATAGGGTTCGTAATTGCAAGATTTAAAAACGTGCCACAATAGTCACATTCATCTCTTGCTGGGATACGATCACTACTAAACCCTAACGGCATTTGTTTTTTGTTTGCCACGATATTCAAACCCGCAAGACGAAATCGGCTTTCTCCTTTAGCTGTATTAATAATTTCGCTTTTCCTAAAATTTTTGTAAACTTTTTCAAAAGTTTGAAATAAAAAAACTTTCGTTTTAGTAGTAAGCGGCAATAAACGCTCTTTGTTAGAATTGGTATCATTTCGTTGAGTAACAAAAACTTCCTTAAACGTATTCATGGTCTTCCTTATGTTGGCTATTTTTGCTTTTTTTGAAAGCTGTGTAGCCGAATCCAATGGAGAGGAATGTCTTCGAATAATACTATGCATGTTCTCGACGGGATAATCTGAAAATTTAACTAAATGTTCAATTAGTACTTTTAATATCGGATGGTTATTTTCCATCCAATAAAATACATCGGAAAGAAATATTAATGGCGCTTTATTATAATTATGCCTCTCAAATCGCATAAAAATAACCCATGCCCTAAAAATACCCTCCAAATATGACTCCCACTCGCCTGATCGAAAAAAGATAGAATAGATATCAATTCCTAATGGGATAGTATTGTCAAGCAAATCAAAAAGAAATAGATACTCTAAATCTTTACAACACTTCCCAAATTTGTTGACTACAATTGGCTTGACGTCTTTCCATGCGCTTCTTGCTAAATCCATTAGAAGAAATGAACGGTACGGACTCAGATTTTGTGGAAGATCTTTCGAAGTACAAAACAGATACTTATGCTGCATATTGAAAAAACTCCAAAAGTTCGTTAGTATAGAACTGACCAAATTAAGTTGCACATGTAATGCACCGATTATTGGTATAAAAGATAATACTATATCTAATATTTAACAATAGTAAATAATGTTAGCTAAAATTAATTAAACGCATCAATAATTTTATTATAATCTACGTATATACGCACCCGGAATTTTTGAATTATTCGAATCCCGTAAGCGAAGACTTATTGCTTTTCTTATATATATTTGCCCAGGCCAATCTGCTACTACGGGCACAGCATGATTACTCAAATAAGACTCTAACGTGTTAATGCTATTTAATTTTTCCAAAGCATTAACATAAGAGCCTACGGTTTTAAGCTCTTGCTCATAAAAATCAAAAAGCATACTGTCTTTCATCTTACGTTCCTCTTCACGAGCCTTGATTCGATCATCATATGAATGTAAAGATAATGCCTCTAACCTCGTGTTGAATGGAATATTATTGGAGAAAACTTCATTAGAGGTAAATACCATACGTTTCATATATTTTCTATCTAGATATTTTAAAATAATATTAAAATCTATTAGTATAGGATTGTGAATTGAGATGCCATTCGATCCATAAATTGGAATAGCATCAGCTCCAACTGAATTTAACAATAAAGTCGTCATATGAGATGCCGTTGATGTGGAGCAAGTATCGGGTGTTCGCTTGGCATGAATATTATGATAATCGTCGACATTAAGTATCATTGCCCTATTTACATTCTTTTTAAGATAACTATCAACTAAATCATCGTGTAGTTCTGCCATATCAGCTTTTTTTCGATCCATATGACGAGATGTAATCGTAATTCCAGCATTCGCGAATGCATCAATTGCTTCATGAGATGTTCCCATAGAATTTAAAAATATTGACATCTCTGTCTTGAATGCAGTTAATTTTGAATTACGATTGCCGCAAATAAGATAACATTCAAAAGCTAGACGTTTGTCTAGCTTTTCTAAATATTCACTACTTCGCTTAAACGGATTTGCAGCATTATAAATAAAATCAAAAAAAATACTTAGCCGATGATCCTTGTCTTCCATTTCCTTTCGTAATTCTTGAAAACTGTAAATTGGTGGCAGATCTTGCTTCTTTTCTCTATCATAAAGCAAATTCGTGAGCACGACCACACCATCAATCCAGGTAAACTCGTTTAGATCCCAGAGTGGTATAGCTTTATTTCGATTCCAGCACATTAAATAACATTGATATGCCAGAGATCGATTGAGCTCTCGTCTTTCGTCTTCATTCTTATTTTCAACATCGGCTGCTGCTTCAATTTCGTCAAAAATGAAGTTAATCGTTCGTCTTTCTTTTCCGCAAAAGTTCTAAGCTGTAAAAAATCAACGATAGACCTATTTTCTTCTAAAACATCTCTTTGAAAAATAATGTTAGCCAGCAATTTAATACTTTCAGACATAGAAAGACTGTCACTCTTTCTACGTTTTTTCAAACTTCTTTCCCATTCTAATACGTGATTTTTAAAAACATCACTTCCATTTACCACAATCCCGCATGCCATCAAAATATAAATATGAACAATGAATGAATAAATAAATAAATACGTACTACGATACAAAATAATGGAACAACGTTACCCGTTTAAATGAGTATCGAGCTCATGTCACGTAAAATTACGTAATGTGAATAGGCAATACTAGCTTTAATTCTTTGCTGCAACAGGACTAAACATACAGGAGAATTTTTTCGATTTGGAGATTATTAAAAATTAATGATAACATTTCATAAAATTTAATCCCATCATTTTTGTGATATTGCATAAAATTGGCAATTGCTTCCTTACTTTACAAAATCTGACAATTTCGAGATATGCAATTATTTGCCAATAATAAGCAATATATAGTGCATTATTGGTACTATGTTAGCAATTTTAATAATTTATTGCAAGATTATTTCATTATCAGCACCTTTAAATACCTAATAAATTAGT